TTATCAAAAAAGTCACATTTTCTGTATCCAGACACGTCCATATAAATCTTTATTATTTTTTCATATCTCAAATTTTATTTTTTATATCAAACATACTTTTATATCAAATCAAATTTATAGCTAACTGCATTCATATATTAAAAAAAAATTTTGTACATATTGTATATATAAATATAAAATTTCTATTTAAATGTCTAAATGTAAAGAAGTTTCACCAACACTTGCATCTTGAGAATAATTTACACTATGGACCTTTTGCTCGTCACTGGTGCCATGAAATTTCTACTGAAAATGGCTCAGAATTTTTATCCTATTCGTTTAGGATAACAATTTTAACTGAACTAAATAGTAGAAAATTTTTGCTTCGTATTATTATGATAAGATCCAAAGGTTTACACCAGAGGATATGCATAAAGAACTTATTGAAGAATCTGTTCATAACAGTATTGTGACCCAAAACTCTGAGTTTAGGGAAGACCCGAAACAGAAACTAACAGAAACCAGTAAGTTAGTAGTTTATGCTTAGGTTTAGGTTTAGTTTTAGTTTTAGTTTTCTGCTTAGTATAAGTTCATTTTCCGAAACGTTTCAGGAAGCCAAAAGAGTTTCTGGTCACAACACTGGTTCATAATGCCCAATTTTCTCATGATGAAATTCCTAAGGTAGAAACTATACGTAATTGGGTTTCTAGATACTCAGCAGAAATGAAAAGAGATGTAGCTGATCAAATTACAATAAATGAACTTTCAAGTAATTTATCATATAATTATTTTAATATTAACAACTTGCTTTTGGTGTGATCTAATTTCCTGCTCACCACAAGAAAACAATTATATTATTATTGATACAATCTTTAATAAAATTATAAATAAAGAAAATGATTTTAACTCTCATGTAAATTATTCCCCAAGACTTAATGATGACAGAAGAAATTACATGGCCAAGTTTAATATTAACAACTTGCTTTTTTTGCTATAATCTAATTTCCTATATACAAGGAAAAAATTTATTTGAACTGTTATTATTATTAATACAATTTTTTGATAAATTATAAATACAGTAATAGAAAGCAAGAAAATTATTTTAACTCTCTTGTAAATTATTTCACAGGACTTAATAATAACAGAAGAAATTACGTGGTCAAGTTTTGAATAGTTTAATATCAATGACTTTGTTGTCCGTGATTTAATTTCCCGCCCACTATAAAAAATCAACTTATTTGAACTGTTATTAATAATACATTCCTTAATAAAATTATAAATAATAGAAAACAAATTTTTATTTAGAAACAATAAAGAAAATTATTTAACTCTCCTGCAAATGATTTCCCAGGACTTTAATGTTGGGAGAAATTACGTGGTCAAGTTTCGAGTAGTTCTTAAAATTAATATGTTAGTTTAGTCAATACCAATTATTGCTAATTAGGATTTTAATCCCTTTATGCTGCCAGCCCTGGTTTGTACATAGTAAATTAATTTTCAACGAAAAAAAAAACATTGAAAGTTTTCCGTATCAATTCTGCGGATTAAATTCTTAACAATTAATTTGATTAATTAGAGTGAGAATGAAGAGAGTAAAGGTATCGTGTTTGATCAACGAAACTATGGGGAGACACAGAAAAATTGCGTCTAAAATTCGTTATACCAAAATTATCAATCTAATTATAATTCGTTGAAACAAGATTCGTTGAAGCGAGTCTTGACTGACAGCTGGTCAAGTGTATAATAATAATAATATTCGTAACAATATCACCCAACCAAACTTTGAATTTCTGGATATGGTTTCTAAAATTGTACTAATTACTAATATTACAATATATTATTATCGCTATAGCCAAATTTCAAAATTTAGGATATCATGCAAAAAATCATTCCCTAGTAGTTAGTAATAGAGAAGAAAGATGATGGCAAAATTTAGGATCAACATTATTAGTTATTTAAATAAAGTTCCTAATATTCAACATCAAACTACTATATAGAGTTTGAGTCCAAAAGTTACACGTGATAGACTTCAAAAGTATGTGTGATTTTTGACGCAAATAATTGAGTCATGAAAAATAAAATAATTCAGACGCAATTTAAAATTGAGATTTTGGTATTAGTCAAAGCCAATTAATTTTGACAACATGCATATTCCGGACTCTTTTAATATGTCACTTACTTGATCTGGGCTAATTGGATATTGTATTGCTAATTCGATGTTTTTTGGCTGTAATAAAGTTTCGCTTTTTAGATGATGATGGTTGCCCTTGTGACGTTCTTTGTTTTTAAAATAACCAACTATCCAAACAACAAGACTTGTATTGATTTTTTTATCAGGATTTGAATATTGGATATCTTTTTTATGTATAATTAATTTTATAATGATAATAATGTATATTAATTAATAAGTGAGTGAATTCCGAATTACGTATAATTAATAATAATTGTATTAAACCTGCAATTAAAACAGTCCATAGTAATATCGCTATTGGAAAAGTTGAAGAATACCTAAATTTTTTTTCAAACATCTCCAAAATATATTAATTATAGTAATTATAATAATAATGATCATTATTGTCATTTAATTATTATTATAAGAAATGTTTATGTTATATGTATATTACTATTTTTTGTATATTAGCCTTTTGAAAATAACAAACATATATTTACTACTTACCGTTATTATTGTTATTGTTATTATCACCTTTACTGCCTTCTATTGTCATCATCATCATCATCATTACTCTTTGACTACTCGACAATATAAAAAATTTCCCTGTCATCTCACGTTCTATTTTATGATTTCCGTGAAATATTTGCAAAAGTTTCATAATTAAAATTTTCTGGAATCAACTTTCAACAAAGGTAACCATCCTTTATTAATAATATTTCAATAAACAATAATTATCAAAAGTCTATCAAAGTTAAACCAATTAGTTATTCCGTGTAGGGACGATTCTGCAGCAAAAAAAAACAAAATCCGCGGCTTAACTCTGCTATAAAATCTCATTATATTTATTTATTCGAAAATATCTAAGAATCAATTAAAAATAGATAACGAAAAAATAAAACAAATAATTCTTATTCGAATTGCTAATAGAAAAAAAAAATACATCTACCACTATTATTATTATTATTATCACAAGGGAAAAAACCAATTACTACAGCTATCATTATTAATTACTAAAAAAAAAGATGTCAAATTACTTTTGCTACTGCTATTATTATTATCATCGCTACAAGGACTGCGAAGGAGAAATAGAACTGATAAGTTTTGATTGTATTGAATTAGCAATGTGCATACACTATTACCATCAGCTATATTATTCGTTTTGTTTGTTTTATTTAAATAGAAATCCTAACCTAATTCCATAGGGCCAACAGATTCGAGCATTATGAACAAATTTAATGAAATACATGTAGAAACGAAATATTGATAAATTTTTTTTAGCAGTATAAGATTAGATAAGTCGCGCGAATTCAATTTTTTTACATGATCACGTGATGTACAATTATGTTATATTTGGCATATGCGTGAAATTTCTGCTACAAAAATAGAAAGGTATACCAGCAATTAACCAAATTAGATATAATTATTCACGTTTCTGCTTTTGATATATACTTTCTGCTTAACGTCGAGGATCATCATCCTTGGAGCCGTGGAATAACCATTACTTATTATTTGTACAATCTACCTAATCCAAAAAAAAAGTCTATCTCCTGAATTTTACTTCGCTACTTACCGAATTACTTTGAGTACAGTGAGTGTCACATTAGTGCATGCAAAATAATTGGTTTTCTTAAAATTGACGAGTTAAATTTTCATGTAATTTTTGAAGAAAAACAATAACAATGTAAATTAATTATTCTAATTAAAAGCCATTGAACTACGTTAAAATATTTTAAATGAGTTCAGTGTAACGATAGTCATAGTCAAGTTAAAGCTCGATATTGTATATATAGTTCCGCAACTTTTGATTGGTCACATATATTCTTCCAATCCTCCAAAAATGGAAATGCTGCATCAAAAAAATAAGTCATGTTTCGAAGCCAAGACCCTTCTCTACAAGTTACGATTTCATTTTGTTGATATGTCAGAGGATTCGTGCCTCAATTTGCTCAAATTTACCAATTTACTATGTTCAGCCCTAAAAAATTAGCGCGTTACACAAAAAAACTTAATATCAAAAATAAACGAATTGAAACAAAAACAAAATTTTTTAATTTTTTCCCTTATCTTACAGATCTTTTATACGTGAATTTCCAGATGAATGGAAAGAGTATTTATTCTTTATATAAAAATACAAACAGCCAAGTTCATGTTTTCAAATTTAATAAAATAGACTATTGCGTTAATCAAAGAAATATGCAAAATCATCTACCACCATATTGCCGATTTTAGTATTTATGGAAATATCACATGACCAACAATTTTTATGATTGGAAACATTGGCGATGTGGCGCAGAAAGTTGTGGGACGAGAGCAGTGTTGAAAATTCAATTCGGGTGTGCCACGATACGCGGGTGTTGTGCACGTCTATTTTTTTTAAAAAATGCCAGTAAAAAATTTAATTGTTCCTATATACTCTTTTTTTTTTTTTGCTGTGACAAATCAATTAATATTTCGTGCATATGGAAATTTAGTGTAATGTGACACGCCCTGATTGAATTTTCTAAAATGGTTGGAATTAAAAAAAGAAAAGCAAGCTAGAAGGTAATGAAATTACTATTTATAAATAACTTGATTATTCCCTTTTTTAGGGACAATAGTGATTCTGTTAATTTTGAAGATTTTGAAGAAATGTATCCATATTTCGATGAAAAACCTGAAAATAATAGTGAATCTTTGTTTCAATTACTGACTGATAATATGAAAAACTATAAGGTCAAAAGGCCATTGGCCTATAATGAAAATTCAAAGAGCATACAAAAAACATCAGCAAAAGAAAATATCCAGACTCTTGATATATTTTTGTCACGTGTTATCTGCGGGTCTACAAACGAAATTTTGACCCTACAGTCTAAGCTCTCTATGCCGAACATCTCCATAACGAACAAAAGCAAAAAAATTACATATAATAATAAAGGACAAGGGGTTTGGCATAGAGAGCTTAGACTGTATATAAAAAGTATTACTGTTACACGCACTTTTACTTATCTGCGTTTTCATTTTAAATATATGTAGTGTGACGAACGCTGATAATCATTTGACCACATTCGAATATTCGGTTATTATTATTATTATTATTATCATCATTATTATTAGTACTATCACTATTATTATGAATATTTGATTCAATGAATACATATTAGTATTAGATAAACTTTCTAAATATTCATTGAAAAATCTGTTTACTATTAACAATTTCCAAACATAAATATTTCCATAACAAGATGATTCAAGTGATAATAATTCTCGCCTATTCACTTTAACACAAACAAAAAAAAATTTTATGCTAGTTTATTGTATTAAGACGCATGGCATATGTACATGCTAACCGCAAAGGACATTATAGAATTTATGTGTGAATTTAATTATGATTCGTTTAAAAAATATTGCTGAAAGAGGTTAAGAAATCTCCTTTTTTTAAATAAATTTAAATTATTGTTTTATTTGGATTCGGATCACAGTTCATTCGAGCCCTTCTGTTTCAGCAAAAAATATCCGTTATATAGTAATAGAGAAACCGTTATAGACAGTATATAAAACATACGAGACAATTTTAATTGAACCTAAATTTTCAGTGCGTTATATAATGAAACCGTTATAGAAATACATTGCCTATATAACGTAATTGCTGGAGGATATTCGCATGTCGGTCTGAGTATTCGTGTGTATTCGAATATTCATGATCGACATAATAATAAATGAATATTCAAAAGTCCGCTACGTAAAAAAAATCTTGTGTGTAACCGCTAATTATAATAATAATAAATTATAATATACACAAATACAAAATGTGGCTTTTTATTAATATTAATAAATAGGAAAATATTATATACAAGTATCGATCATCTATCACGTATCGTTATTGGTCCATCTATTTCCGTGTTGATCATTTCCAATTTCACCACGTGTACCTTTAAGGTTTCTGAATCAAATTGAATAATTTCTTGAATAAATTTTTATTCAATTCAAACGGACCATTCGAATAAGAAATTGTATTACGAATAGAAATCCTAATTTTTTGTAAACATTTCGCGTGATCCATAATACCATTTCCATTTCGTGGTAATAATAAGAATTTTAATTTCTTTCAAAAAAATAGAAACATATATGCATTATGTGCTAATATTTACATTGATTGCTTTTAGAGGCGAAAAATATGAAGTTTTTTTGTGTCGAGTTCATCGTAACTTGATCTACGTGATGATATAAGTTTTGTGATTTTTTGTTATATGGGCCTTTGGATGATTAGGGAGAATGAGTGAGAGTAGATGATGACCAATACTTTTTGTCAGGGAGTAGTTTAATAAAGTTCTAAACATATTAAAGACGTAATACTTACAAGCATATAAACTGCAAAATGATACAGTTCTTATAATTTTATTGTAAAGTTTTCATGAAAAATCAACTTTCTTCTGTGCAGATAGATAATACATAATTTTATTGATCATATTAATAATATCTTTAAAAAAAACATAAAAAAAAGCATAATAATAAAATCTTATATTCTTAATTCTTCTTTTTAATTAAATGTTTTTAAGTCTTAAATCATTATTTATTTATTTATTTATTTATTTATTATTATGGATATTGACTTGTAATATTATTCAAAAAAATTTAAAAAATTTAAAAACTCAACATTCTCAAATTCAAAATTAATAAAATCATTATTATCATTAATGTTCTCAAAAGTGTTATCATTTCCTTCATTAATAATCATATTATTACTAGTAATAAAATTATTATTATCATTATTATTACTAGTAATAAAATTATTATTATCATTATTATTATCAAAAACAAAATTATTACTAATGTTACTACTACTACTATTATTATTCTGAACACTAATGAAATTATTAACATTATTATTGGAATTATCAACTATATTATTGTCGGTGATATCCAAATTAAAGGAATTGTTGTCAAGTGGATCTAAAGTCGACACCTCATGAACTAAATTGTCTCCAGTGAGAGAAAGTTGAGTTTTGAAGTTGTTATTTAGATCGTCAAAATTGAAATTGTTTAGAGAATTGATGGAATTATTGAAAGGATTATTGAGACTATCGAAATTAATTGGAGGAACATTAAAGTTATTAAAAACATTTAAAGCGTCAATATTGTTGGAATTATCATAGAAATTACTTGAAGCGTCAAGACTATTGAAATTATTATTGAAATTACTTGAAGCGTCAAGATTGTTGAAATTATTGAAATGGCTTAAAACGTCAAGATTATTGAAATTATTGAAGCTATTAAGAGCATCAAGATTATTGGAATTGTTCAAACTATTATTATTATTGAAATTACAATTAAAATCATTATTATTAAAGTCAATTATTTGATGATAAATATTTCCAATGTTATTTTTTTCACCATCATTTTTATTATTTTTATTAATATTATTATCTTCGATCTTTCCATCCGATTTGCTTCTTTTCTTTGCCATTTCACCGCCATCATCATCAGCATGATTTATATTAGTATTTAGATTATTGTGCCAAACTGGTTTATAAACATAATTAGGATACGTTAATTTATGTTTAACATTAGCTGCCATACTTAATATTTGAAAAAATTGTTTTACTTCAGAAGATTGAGAATTCCAAATGTTTGCAATCAATTTGGATTTTTCTCGATTATTCAAATTCGTCATTTGGGATTCTGCTTTAAGTTTGGCATTATAATCAGTTCTAAAAAGAATGAATGGATTTTGAGGTCTAGGTGAATTACTATTACTATTACTATTATTACTGTTATTTTTGTTATTATTAATATTACTATCGTTATTATTATTAATGTTGGTGGCATTATTATTATTGCCATTATTAACGTTGTTGTTTTTGTTATTTCTATTGTTTCTTTTATATTTTCTAACAACCCTATTGTTATTATTAGTTCGTAATAACTTTGGTTTAATTAGTTCGTCAATTGGCAACGTCAATTTATAAGGTGGATTGGTGGTTAGTCTTTTCAATAATCTTTCTAAATTCGATTGACATTCTTCATTACGTGTCGATGATGATGATGACGACGATGACGATGGCGATGATGATGAATATGAATGAATGGTGATTGGAAATGAAGTGTTGTTGTTGCCGTTGTTACCGTTGTGGCCGTTGTGGCCATCATTGTTTTCTGTTGAAATGAATTCATTTAATGGCATCACAAATGTAAAAGTACTGATACTACTAATACTACCTGAACTAGCACCAGCACCAGCACCAGCATTAGAACCAGTATTACCAGTACTATTACTACGAGCACGCTTTGATGAATTTTTATTTTTTGTTGGATTTTTCTTGAGCATAATATATTTAATTAGTTAATAATAATAATAATTTAATGATATAATAATTAAGTGAAGTAATAATTATATATATATTTTATATTTATGTATACTATACAAAGAAAAAAAGTTTTGTCTAGCTAAAAAAATTGACTTTTTATGCATTTTTTTCTTCTTAATATCTCTCGGAGTCTGTTAAAAAGTCAATTTAAAAACAAAAATATAAAAATACAAAACAAACTAATGTTTTTTGTTTTTGTTTTTTTTTTTCAAGTCAACCCAAATTAATCGAATTTTTGTATAATTAAATTTTTCCGAGTTACTGGGTTTCTGCACCTAATTTAAAATTTTTAATGAAAAAAAAAATTTTCTTGTTTTATAATTTAATCTTGAATGGACGACTTAACTATTTGTGTTACACGAAGTCGGAGTGGGACTTTATAATATTTTAATTTGGAAACTACATCGACTATTGATTTTTCCGAAGATCAAATAAATCAATTGTTTATTAATTACTTTTTTCGTCCTCAATTTAATTTTTCTTTATATCCCAAAAAAATCGGAAATCACAATTGAAAGATTCCGGATGCTTTGATAAACATCACATGAACAATATTTACTATTATAATGGTTGTTAGTACTACTCTCATCATTAATCAATATTGATATCAATATTAATATTGTCGTTTATGATGATGTCGTCTTCCATTATATCCTTTTTAGCAAGCTAAACATACATTCAATATTAAAAAAAGCTCAAATTTTCAACAAAATATGGATTCAAAACAGAGGATTTGTACGATAATCGAGATACACAAATGATCCATTTTATTATTAATTGATTTGATGTTTTTCAGCATTTTTACCAATCAGTGATTCTCCACAAGAATTACTTACATAATCATCATTTTTTTTATGTAAATATTTTTACCAAAAACTAAAAACCAATCACAATCATCTTTTTGATTTTCGACACAAAACAAATTTCTCATTATTATTTATTTTTTAACTAGACAAAAATTAACAGTTAATTTATCTTTAATTAAAAAAAAAAACTATATGCAATTTTCTCAACAACTTTTTCAAATATATGAATATTTAAGCCATTCCGAGACTGGTTACCTTTAAAAACCACCAGTAAACCACTGTGTTCAGGTCAATGAGATGATTCTTTAAAAGATTTTCATGGGCTACCGTTGGTTCAATTAAACCGTCACCTAACAATATGAAACATATTCCCCTTTTTAACAGAAGAGTTTTAAAAAAAATATAACTTCTTCTACCTCTCTACTCAGGAAAGATCTTAACATCAGCCTTTACCCTGATTCGGAAGAAAAACAAATGGATTGGTACTGCTCGCTGGACAAAATGAATCAATATATATATATATATATATTAATAAAGAAAAACTTAAAAATCAAAGACCTGATCTTGAATGGGTTCTTACTAGAGATGCAACGATGTGCGACTTTTAAACAATTATGATTCAAGTATTGCTCCAAAAAAGAAAGCTTAATATTAAAAATTTGAAAAAGACCAACAAATTGGGGAAACAAAAATGGTCCTCAAAGTGTGAAAATACCCGAATTAAAATATGGGTGATAATCAAGGTCCTAAACTCTTGGTAGCTAAGGATGCTGGCATCATTTCATTTGATCCAGGGATGAAAACCTTCATGATCGGATATAACCAAAATGGCGAGGACATTTTCAACATTGCTAATTATTTGTCACGTGAATTTTTCAAGTTTTAAACATAACGCCCAGCTTTGAGTAAAGTGTCTGCATTATACATCATCTTGCATCATTGATGGAGTTCTAACGGAGAGTCTGCTGCTTATACCCGAGATACCTCATGATTATTGCATACTGTCTATTTAGGTTTGTACTTGGATATAAGTAGTTAATAGTTTTTTTGTGTAAAATTAAAAATTAAATATGGGAAAAACCAAGAAATGGAAGTATGGCCAATTAAATTTTCATTCTCCACCAACCAAATTATGAATCCCCGAAATCACTTTATCTGGTTTTGTTGCAGCATGTCCCATATTTATTATTTATACAATATGATTATTATTATTAATAGAAATACAATATTTATATTTTAAAAAAAAAAATTTAAAATTTATAATACAAAATTATGATAAATATATAATATATTATATTAAAACTAAATAAATATAAATACACCAATAAGCATATTATGAATGCATGAATGAATATATATGATCAAAAACATGGAAAAATGTTTTTTATTCGGATTTCCCTGAAGAGATGGAAAATTTTAGTAATTCTTGAATTTTCATAAAATTACTAATACATATTTCGACCATTGATTCTTCAAGTTCGTTTATATGGAGTTTCAGTAGACCTTCAGATTTTTCTGCTTTTATTCGTGCCAATTCTGACGACTCAAGATTTGAGGCCAGTGATGTAATCTTTTCTCTATATGATGCCACTGAATCTTCCCATCCACTATATTTTTGAGTATCTGTTTCAAGTTTCATCTGATATTCTTGTAACTGTGACATAAGTTTTCGTCGGTTCATCGAACCTTTTTGTTTCTCGGTCCTCTCATCTTCCAATTTCTCTTTCAATTCATCAAGCTCAACCTGAAGTGCTTTATTAGCTCGTTCAAGCCTAATAACTTCTTTTTGTGTCTCTTCAGCCTCTTTCAATACCAATAATTGATCTGGTGCATCTAGCAATCCAAGTTCTTGCATTTGATTTTCAAGTGTTTCCTTAGACCTTGCCAATTGTTCACATTCTCCTTCGAGTTTCTCTACCTCTTCTGTCAACTCATCAACTTCCTCCTCTAAATCTCGTTCTCGTTGTCGAGTTTGAGCTAATATTTCCTCGTTACCCTGAGCTAAAACTCTCTCGTCGTCCAATGTTTCTTCCAACACCGTCTTTTCAGATTCCAATTGCACAGTTAAGGCTTCAAGTCTTTCCCGTTCCTGGGTCTCGAATTTCAATCTCTCCTCCAATTCGCGTATACGATTATCCCTAAGTTTTATTTGTTCCTCCCAACGAGTAGTATTCAAGGTCGGTTTGACTTTGGAATAAAGATTCCACCATGAATTCTTTCTTAATTGGTTATAAACCCTTACATTCTTTTGGATGATCCGTGCTGCTTGAACTTTTTTAGATAATATTTCATATTGTTTTCTTGCCAAATGACCACGACAATATGCTTGAAAACGTGTAAAAACATGCGCTAATTTGCCATCTCTTATTTCTTCTAATTCTGCCAACTATATAAAAAAAGAAAAAAATTATCATTAGAGTAGCTATTATTATATATAATATATCCAATATATCAATAATATATATTAAGCTAGCTATATATAAAAATAATTACCACTCCAGATTTAAATAAAACTTTGCTTAATCCAATACGATATTGTGAACTATCCAGATTAAAAGCCTCCAATAATTGCCGTGCAGCCTCTCTGCCGTCAATAAATCCATCAGGAATAATCCCTGGGACCAAGATTTCATAACGTTGACGAAATTCGACAAACCCCAATCGATTAGGGAATCCAGTACGACATATCCTAATGCCTTCAAGAACACCATTACATCTTAATTGATCAAGTACTAATGGCACATAAATCTTTCCTGGCTTTTTCTCTTCATTAGGAACAATACATCGGACAAAATGTGGATGAGTTGAGTATAATTGTTTCATTAATGAATGTAATTGTTCTTTGTGGCGATGTCCTACAGTTCTAAAGGCACCACGTTTAACACGATTTTTTGTTCCATAATCTATAATGTTATTGTTGTCACCATAAAAATCTTGGAATAAAGATGCAATATATTCGCAATTTGAGTAAGCCAGTAGTTTAGTAATATTTTCGTTCAACGGATCTTTGTTTTTATTAAGCCATCCTTCAGTTCTGTACTCTACTTTAGCAGCATAATGTTGTAATATGAAACCTTGCTGAAAACGCGGAACTTGATATATTGATGATTTGTCTTTCCATAAACTATGTAATTTTTCTACAAAAGTTTTGTCAGTTGCTTTTGGCATAACACATTCTTCATCAAGACATGACAATATTCCCACCGGCTATTTTTTCGGATATAAATAAATTTTTTTAGTCAAAAAATGGAATACAACAGTATAATTAATGATATAATAATAACAATCATTTTCTTTTTAGGATGCTATGAATATAATAGGGATGACAATTGAAGAACAAATGAATTTGTTTCGTGTAATAGCAGCAATCTTACATCTTGGAAACATTAAAGTGACATCTAATCGTGACGACCAAGCTCAAATACCAGAAACATCTGTATCGGAAAAAGTTTGTCATCTTCTTGGTATACATGTATCGGATTTTATTAAAGGTCTAGTCAAACCTCAAGTTAAAGCTGGTCGCGAATGGGTTGCCCAATCGCGCACAAAAGAACAAGTCTTATACTCGATAGATGCTTTGGCAAAGTCATTATATGAAAGAAATTTTGGTGCGTTGGTAGAACGAATTAATAAGGCTACCGATAGACCAACCAATAAATCTAATTTTATTGGCGTATTGGATATTGCTGGTTTTGAAATATTTCAGGTAAAATGTTTTGATTGAATATCTCTAATATTTAAATATTATAAATTAAATTTTAAATTTAAATTTTAACCCAAAAAAGGTGATATAACTAATTATATTTTTGCGACACGTTTTACGAAAATTTTAATTTATCAATGGATCAAAGTGTTACAAAAAATTCAAAATAAAGTTTCATATCTTTAGTAATATATATCATACATATCATATGGAGAATTTCTCAATGAAAAAAACTTCACTAACGTATTAAAAATTTCATTGTTGATTTATTTATATTTATATATAATATTATGCCATTTTTGAATTCTATTAATTTTTTTTTGACTATTTAGAAACGGTGATGACGAGGAAGATACACATAGAACAAGTAATAGTAAACAAAATTCTTATAGCGATAAATATGTAACTGGTCAAAAACATTATCAACTTAAATCAAATACTCAGCAAACAGTTTCAAGAAAAGGTTATTATGACAATTTTATTTTCGAATATTATAAACTTAGATATGGAGATAATTTTTTAAGTAGTGATATGAAAGAACATAATGTGAATTGGGATGATGATACTTCTAATGGTTCTGATGACGATGATGATGATGATGATGATGATTCAGAAATTGAAAAGAATCAATCTGAATTTCCTTTAGATGATTTTGATGGCGATAATACAGTAGTGGATTCTAACCCTTCAACCGTGACAAATAGTGTCAAACTATCTGCTGAAAAGCAAAGAGAAAGAAAAGATTGGCAAAGTTTTTTATCATCTGTGTTAACTGGCGAGGTTATAAAGTCTGAGAAACAAAGAATTAATTCAAACACTCGTCAGGCTGCAAATAATAATAATCAAATTTGGTTAGGAATTCGAGCTGTTACTCATGGTTATCAACTTTCAGAAGAAAAACAAATTTTGGATGAAAAGAGACGTCAAATTGATGTCACGCTTAAGGAAGTAATCAACTTTCAAGTACAGCTAAATGATGTTTCAGCTCTCGTTCAAGTTACAGAATTACTTCAAAAAGTTGATTTTTGTGAAAGCCTTTATCCAACACGAAAGGCAATGATGTCTGACAAGCCTTTATACAAATCAGAAAATTTTCAATATAACTTAGATGCATTAAATTCATGGTTAACAATAACTAGGAGTTTACAGACCCAACTAAAAATTCTGCAAGATTGGACCGGTAGTAAAAATTTAGAAATCACAAAACCAAAGGATTCTCCGGCCGATGCAGAAAATCCTTCTTTTTTAGAAAGAATATTGAAAGAAAACAGTTTGAAACAAACTTTTGAAAAGAAAACACTTTCCACATTGAATTCGCTTTTATCAAAAGCTAAGCGTGTAATGATTGAGAATGCTGATTCATTCGTTAAAATGAAATTACCCCCGTATATCAACGAGTTTCAACAGCTTTTAAACTTTCCCACAAAACTTATGGAGGAATGTATGAAGCTTTTACTTGAAATCTCTGGCCGTTTGACGGATCCAACGATGCTCATGATCCAACAAAGGATGGATGACTTTCGTATTTCGCTTATTTTGGCCTGTCAAATCAAACTTCAATATTTAAAATTAATAACACCAGCAACTGGGTGGGAAATTCCATCATGTATTGATGAAAATTATAACACTGTCTTACTAGAATCTTTAAAATTTTATTTAAAATTGTTACAATGGAAGGTTAAAGGTGGTTATAAAACAGTTTTTTTTAAGGAAGCTGAAATATTGGAAAATGAATGGTCATTTGTAAGTGGTATTTGTCGTGATATTGCTGGTGGTGAAATTGAGGTTGCTGAACAATTTTGGTATGGTTTATTTTTTTAATTTTTTTTTAAAAAAAGGGTTATCTAACAAATAAAAAATTTTTTGTCTTTTTTTACTAATTTATTTGTTTAAAAAAATTTTTCTGCAGTACACTTACTAACAAGCTACTTCAAAGTGTTTTAACTTATTATGAATCAAAACTTGAACTACCAAAAAATATTGATGCGGCAAACATTTATAAATGGTATAATAAAATTTTGGAAAGTGTACGTTTAAGGTCTCGTAAACTACTTCGATTCATAAAGTACGTATGGATTTAAATTATCATGAAATAAACAATAAATTTATCGGCCCAATTAATAAAATAAATAAATAATAAATAAACAGGCTTTTATTCGGGGAGCTTGAAAATTCAGCCGAATATTTTATCGATGACAACAATTTTCCATATTTTATAAAAGACTTGGAGAACACCAATCACGTTCTTGTCTATCCAGATACTTTTAATGAAGATAATGTCTGTTTTATTGTTGAACAATCTCTTTATAATCGATCAGAACAAATTCAAAAATTACTTAAAGTTATACTGACACCGTATGAAAAAGATGATCATGAAGAAGAGTTGAAAGGCGCAGAGTACATACTTGTTTTGTCGCCAAGAGTACCTTTTGAATGGAATGGCTCAATTATGGTTGTTTCCTTGGGAAATTTAAATATTGAACTTAAAAATCATCACACAAGGCTTGTTGCTAATGGTTCTTATACTCGATTACAAGCATGTAAACAAAAGTTTCGTGGTGTGGCTGAAAACTGTAATATCAAAGTATTATTAGAAACACGTGCAAATGTTCCAAGTGTGAATCGTGAAATGTCAAAAATCAAAAAGACTATAATAAAATTAGTGAATATCATTATTGATAGTATCAGGAAAATTCGTGAAATGACAAAAAATCTTCAATGTCAAGAGCTGATTGAAAATTGCTTCAGTTTTGCAACTGAAATCGGTCAACGATGTATGAAATATTTGGATAGAGATGCTGTACGTAATCAATTAAACGTGAAATTAACCCGCATGGCTATTGACTGGGTTAGTTTCATATGCGACGATTGCGTTCCCACAGATCGTAAAACTTTTCGATGGGCTGTCATAGCTTTGGAATTTGCCATGGTAGCAAATCGTGGAAGTAATATTTTTGGCTTAAGCGAAGAGGAATTTAGTTTGCTTCATAACAAAGTCGCGTGTTGCATGGCTTTATTAATTTCACATGTAGACATTTTGGCCAGAGGAGGATATTGAAGCTCATGCATCTACAAAAAACAAGTCACATAATTGCATCAATGTAATCATTTGTTTTATTGCTAAATAATAAAAAATAACTTACTTTCCACCATAATAAAGTTCATTTAATTAAAAAAAATTCTTTTATGTAAAAAATAAAAAATTGTCCACATTTGATGTACACATGATATTCTATATATAACTCACTGCACATATAATTAGTTAAGATCTTGTTATAATATCAAACAATACAGTATATTAAAAAAGAAATCTTTAGAAGTTCGAATTGATTTCAAATTGCATTTAGAACAAATCAAATCAAATCAAATACAGTTTTTTGAATTCAAATCATGATTTGATTTGATTTGAAAAATTCGAATCGAATTGAATCACTTCAAAATTCGACTCGATTCGATTCGTTCGGAACTTTTGAGCACTTGACAATCTTCAAAATCACGTGATAATAAATTTTTTATCTCAAAATTGGCGTCGTGGCACAAAAAGTTCAGTGACTAAGTGACTTTGCACACCAAATATATAATGTTCATGTGATCCCTGAAATCCTTGGTAATACCAATGTTCACTTTGGTTTTGTTGCAGCATGCCCACTTAAGGCATTTTAAAATTTCTATCAACTCACCAAATTTAGCAAGTCGAATATATTAAAAATTGATCAATACTAAATATATCATCATCATATAAAATTGATAAATATTCTAAATTTTGGCAATATTGTGCAATTGATTGAAGAGGCTCACCAAACATTCATGGTCTCTCTGATAACAACATCATTGATCAATCACAGAAATTCATCCAGAAATGTCTTCCAATAATCCCAACAACACTAATAATTCTTCTGCTCAGGCAAAAGAATCAGAGGCAAAAAAGAAGAGAGCTGGTCCCAAAAGAAGAAAAGTTACTCATGGTACTGTATTATTTTAATAATTCAAAACAATTTGCATATTTATATATTTAAGTTTACATAAATAATTTTTTTTTTTGATAGCTTGTGTTTATTGCCGACGATCACACATGACATGTGATGAGGGTAAGTATTATATATATTTATATATTTTTGCCAAATTGTGTTTGATTGGTTTTCTTATAGTGATTTATAGTAGTAATTTTAAGATTATTTATATAGGTCGTCCTTGTCAACGATGTATAAAACGTAATATTGGACATCTTTGTCATGATGAACCAAAAGGCACACAAAATTTACAAAAAATCCAAAACCCTCCTGTTCACGTAGTACAACCTAATCTTTTAACAATGTCTGCAGCTACTTCAAATGGTGAGTTATTATTAAAAAATTATTTGTAATATTCATTGCACTCATTAAAAATTCTTTGATCAATTTCAGGCATGAATCAAAACACTTATTCAAACATAGCTATGCAAAATTTTCCTCATACCACAGAATATTCACAATTTCCATTAACTTTTGCTAGTGAAGATATGGGTCATGAATTTACAGTTCTGACGTAAGGTTTAACAATCCATCCAATGATCAATCGATTAATTGTAATAAAATATCAAATTATTTATTATTTTAAAAATTTATGATTTCTTCATAAAGAGATTTTTTAGAGAACATAAATGGAAACCGGCATAATTTACATGATCCTGTTCGTTCTTCATTAGATAACACCACAAAATTTTTTTTAACAGCAGCGGATCCTTCAGATGGCACTTCTGAAGACCGACTTACTCAAGTGATTAATGCAAAATTTCAAGCCGGCCTTTTAAAACCATATAATTATGTAAACGGGTACACGCGTTTACAAAAATATATGGAAAAGAAGTTAGTAATATATATATAGGTGCAAAGATTATTTTTATTATCAAATAATTATTGGAATAATTTTTCATTATGATTTGTTTTCCTTTGAAAATTTTAGTATGTCAAATTTAAATCGGATGAGAATTGGAAATTCTCTATGTACTTTTAGACCTTCCTTTCGAAGGATTGCTCAATCATTAACTGACATTGATTTGATTTTGGTTGAAGAAGGATTTGAACGTCTTTTACTGGTTAGCAATATATATATATATATATATTATTCATAGTCAAATATTATTCCAATTTTTCTAATCGTAAAAATTATAGGATTACGATAGGGTATTCAGCTCTATGGGAATACCTGCTTGTTTATGGCGCAGAACAGGTGAAATATATAAAGGTAATAAAGAATTTGCTTCACTTGTGGGTGTTCCCTTTGAAATGTTAAAAGAAGGGCGACTATGTATTTATGAGGTAATGAAATAATTTAATTATTATTA